AAGAAGAAGAAGAAGAAGAAGAAGAAGAAGAAGAAGAAGAAGAAGAAGAAGTCAAATCCAGTCTAAACATCTGGCTGACTGTGCGACCAACAATAATAATATACTGCTACAATTATTCTAAGTGGTAAAATATTGTCTGTAAATATTTTATTCAAATTTTCAATAAAATTATTAAAAATATATTGTCTGTAAAATGTAAAATGATTTATGAGAATTCCAATAAAAGCTCTTGAAGTGTATGTCTACATTTCTTAGGAAGTTTAATATCAGCTGTACTGTGGAGGAGAGAAAAATGGGACAAGGAAGAATATGAGGAAGACTTACAACCAAACCTAACCACATAAACATGTAATAATACTGAGCAATAGTGTAAAAACAATAAAACACAGGTTAAAAGATATACCCACATAATTTAGATATATATGCTCTTACACATACATATTCGCACTCTAAAACCAGTCCAAAATAGACAAGATAGGATTTAAATTGTGATCTGCTAAAAGTTAACCGGCCATTTTACACAAGTGCCCTATATGTGATCTCATCTCACACTCTAAACAGAGGGAAATTTTACTCTGGTTCTCCACCATTTTTGCCTACTGACGTTCCTAAATGGAGATCTTCCAAACTTGAGAAACATTTTTCTGAACGTGATTGTGGCAGACCTCTACAAGGCAATATGGTTGGAGTAGGTAGGATGAGGCAATAGCATATGACACTGGAGCATGTTGTTCTTATGGAAGATGTTCTATAGTCTATTGAGTCTGCTTATATGGGAATGTGGAAATGGAAGGGCAGTTTGAATTTATCCACTGTATTCCAGTGTTTAATTCAGTGACTGGAATCCAGAATATATCTAAACTTCAGGCCTTACAACTGCTCACTGATACAGCTTGTGTTTAACTATCGGAGAAGCCAACATCTTCTGGGCAGTGTTCTCTTTCATTGGATAGCTGCCAGGAAGCTTCTTCTCATCTTTTCTCATCATTCCTGCTTGTTTTTTCCATCCCCTGGCTCCTGACTCCATCCCCTGGAAACCATTTTCTTCCAAAATAATCCTTTGGAGATTGGAAAGCTACAGTAGCTTTTTGCCAAGGAAAACTATTCTCATCACAGTTTCCAAAGAGATCAACCACTGCAGATGTTCTAGTTCTCAATCCGTGGCCTGCAGAAATGGACGCTGAGGTGGCTTTTTCCATATATTATGCAGGATTTCTTCATCCCAACTTTATGCCTTATCTATCCAGAAGGTTTTTGAGGAATGAGTCACATTGTTCTTTTGAAATCTGATGCCATATTGGATGGATCTGTTATTTATTTTTGCAAAATAGAAAATAAATAAAAAATAGCAGGAGAAATAATGTTCTGCTCAGTCCCTCTTGATCAATATCTGGGAAGTGGTCTCTTTGGCTGAAATAATGTATATTCAAAAAATTCATGGGATGTTCTGCACGACTGCTTTTTTTTCCCCATAAGTTAAAAAACAAATTATTTGTCTTTATTTTGCTTTATTCCCTTTTTAAAAAGTTTTTTAAAAGATACAGGATTTTGAGTAAAGACTTGACAGAGACTGTTTTATTTTTTTTATTTATCTTTATTTTATTTAAAAGCAAATATATTAAAAGGACCTAACAACAAATCAAGATTCCAACAACTTTTCTGTATAGTCCAGTAAACAGAAAGAAGAATTTGGCCTGTTACATTTTGCAAAAAGGATAATTTTTTCCCAAACTGAATCATACTTTTCTGGTATATCCCAACAAATAATTTCTCTTTGTTTTGCTTCACAGTGTGCTTCAGATTGCAGGAACTTTGGCTAAGGAATAGCACCTGTATAAGAATCTTTGGAAGTCTGTTGTGAGTAGTTAGACAAGAGCTCGGAATGCGATTTCCATCTGCCATAAACTCAAGAATTTCATTGACAATATCACTAATGCAGTCTGACCATAGCCTTGGAGAGCTTCTGGTTGACTGGAGAAGTGGCTGCCAAAGTCGCTGTGAAGTTAGAGCTTAGGAATAGCACAAATGCCTTGCATATTTAAGACCTGCAATATCCACAATTAAAAGGTCTCAGATAATAACCAGAAAATGACCTCTAGCTGGAGCTATCCTGCCCGCTATATTAGATAGAGCTGGGATGACAGGATCCTTTGTCTCGCCAACTGAAAAGCAACTCCTCTCACAGTTCAACAACAGGGACTAACTGTGAAAGTACCATGATGGGATGTTCCTCCAACCTCCTTCTAATCAATCTGAAGAGTAGGAATGTCTGGGAATCAGCAATAGCAGAGCTCATAGTACGGGAGTGCATTGGTTATGGGTGTGTTTCCGGATCCAATTCAAGGTGCTGGTTGTCACCTTTAAAGCTCTGCATGGCTTAGGACTGGATTACCCAAGGGACCCTCTTCTTCCAATAGTTTCTACCTGTCTAATTTGGTCCAGGACATTGGGGATG